CTGTCGTGCCCAGCGACGAGAAATGTCGCGGCCTGGCTGACGACGTTGTCGCTGGGGAGCATCTCGCCTGTCTCCGGGTCTGGCACGGTGAGCATGCGGGCCGCCATGTCCTTCACCGCCCTCCCGCCCTCCCCACCGGCGGCCGCGGCGAACGGGCAACCGCTGGGGTCCGCCGATGCAGCGCCGCTGAACGGGCAGCCGCCGCTGCCGCCGCCGCCGCCGCCCGTGCAGCTCTGCTTCTTGGCCGCGATCAGGGCCTGTATCTCCTCCGCGATCTGGCCCTGGATGCGCTGGAGGTGCGCAATCTCTCCAGACATCATGCCCGCCACCAGCTTGGTGGGCGCGAAGCTGCCCCCGACGCCCCCGTTCAGACGCAGCCGAGCCTCGGAGAACTCCGTGAAGAGGTCGAGGAAGCGGCACGGCTCGGTCAGGGACCGGAAGTCGTGACCGAAGCCGACCCTGCCAATGATGTCGAAGGTGTAGCAGCTCAAGAGCGGATGCAGGTCGATGGCGCCGGCACCGCCTCGGCGGTTGAACTGCTGGACGAGCGTCTCGGTGGTGTCCAGGATGATCGAGAAGTACTCCTGCATGCCCTTCATGGAGAAGGCCGGCAGCAGGATGCGGGCGGCCTGGTCGTGGATGGGCTCGTCGTCGTCCGTGGTGAAGAGGCCCTGGCCCGCCACGCCCTTGCGCAGCGCGCTGTGCTTGAAGAGCCGTTTCTGGAAGACCTCCGGGCGGCGGAACATCTCGCCGAGCAGGTCCGGGTCCGCGACCACCGCGGTGGGGCCCCCGAGCTTCTGCAGCGGCAGGCCGACGAGCCCCGAGGGGATCTCGAGCGTGAACAGGCCGCCGTACTCGGAGACGAGCCTGGGGATGTGCATGTGCAAGCCACCGTCTGGGTGCCCCGGGATGTCCTGCCGGCGCGCCAGGAACGGGTGTGGAGAAGAGCATGGGCGCAGTGCCCCCGACAGCAGACGCTGTCCACAACCGACAGCGGCCGCTGCCAGGCAGGTGGTTTCCTCTCGAACGAACAGCGGCCGCGGCGAGGCTGGTCGCGAGCCCTTCAGCATGAAGAAAGGGGCTCTGGGACACACAAACAAATACACACAAAGAACAGGATTCTCTATATTTTCCCATATGTTCTGGGTTATTGTCTTCCCCCATTTCCCATATTTTCCCATATTTTCTGTGGGATCGACGATTCATTGTGTCTGTGTGTTTTTTTCCCTCCTGAATGAACAGCAACTGCTGTCGGTGTCCTTCAAGGGGCCTTCCCGCACCCGTTTCGGTCCCCCCCGATCCCCGATCCTTGCCGCCGCCAGCAAGTCCGGTGAGGTCACACAGGTTTCCGATGACGGGCAGGGGCGCGGGGCCGCGCGGCAGCGGCACGCCCTCGGCGTCGGCTGGCTGCTTCCGCTGGCCCGCGGCCCCCTCGTCGGCGCGGAAGATGGAGGCGAGCATCGTCGGCAGCATGCCTTCGGGACGAGTGTAGGAGAGCGGCTCCCCTCGGGCGTGGTGCAAGCGGGGGCGGCCAGCTCGGGCCAGGAATCTGCGGACCCCCCTGCCTGTCCACCTCTGGCGTCGGCTGTGCGCAGGCGTGGCCCTGGGCAAGAGTGACCTCTGGCGCGCGGCCTTGGGAGGGCCGCCGCGGGGGCGGGGGCCAGATCCGAGCGCGCATGCACCCTGGCGCATGATTCGGAAACAGAGCCCGGGAGCAGACACGTACGGCAGGGTCCTGCCTTGGCGACGTCGGCCTTGGCTTCTGACACTGCGCGAGCCGTTCCGCCTTGCACGATCTCCGTTCCTGGAGGTCCCAGGGGGCTGTCGACCCCACGTTTGATTCGCATGGACGCTGCGCCGTGGGCTGGTTCCTAGACGCCCCGGGGGCCGACACGGCCCCGTAGACAGTTCCCAGCCTTGAAACGCCCGCGGTGGCGTCGCCGCCCGTCGAGGCGGCGAAACCCAGGCCGCATCTGTAGGAGATCCGAGAGATCCCCATGGCACCGCGGAACCGCCGCGATCGCGTTGCCAGGAGACCTGCAAAGTCGCCAACGAAAGCATTGCTCGAACGAGCCCCCCGTTTGACACACCACCCGACGGAGGCTGCGGCATCTGCCCGAGAGCTCTGTCGCTGGGGCCACCTAACTTCTTGTCCCTACCCGCGCACTCCTCCCCCTCCCCCTCCCTCTCACCCTCCCCTCCCCCTCTTCCTCTTCCTCTTCCTCCTCCTCCTCCTCCTCCTCCTCCTCCTCCTCCTCCTCCTCCTCCTCCTCCTCCTCCTCCTCCTCCTCCTCCTCCTCCTCCGCCTCCTCCGCCTCCTCCGCCTCCTCCGCCTCCTCCGCCTCCTCCGCCTCCGCCTCCTCCGCCTCCTCCTCCTCCTCCCTCCTCCTCCTCCTCCTCCTCCTCCTCCTCCTCCTCCTCCTCCTCCTCCGCCTCCTCCTCCTCCTCCTCCTCCGCCTCCGCTCCGCCTCCGCCTCCGCCTCCGCCTCCGCCTCCGCCTCCTCCCCTCCTCCGCCTCCTCCTCCTCCTCTCCTCCTCCTCCTCTCCTCCTCCTCCTCCTCCTCCTCCTCCTCCTCCTCCTCTCCTCCTCCTCCTCCTCCTCCTCCTCCTCCTCCTCCTCAGCACAGCAGCAGCAGCAGCAGCATCATCATCCTCATCATTCTCCTCCTCATCCTCCTCCTCCTCCGCCTCCTCCTCCTCCACCTCCTCCTCCTCCTCCTCCGCCTCCGCCTCCGCCTCCTCCTCCTCCTCCTCCAGCTCCTACTCCTCCTCCTCCTCCGCCGCCTCCTCCTCCTCAGCATCAAGTTCCCGCTCGAGCGCGGCACAAGCGCGGCGCCATACTGGGAGCTCTGGACAGCAAACTTGGGAACTGCAATACCGCCTGGAACTGAAAAGGCGGGCGCAGCGCTACTGACGGGCAGGGAAGCGAAAGCTGGCGTCCCCTGACGAGGCGGGCGACTCCGGAGAGCGTGGCGCTACAGCCGATGCTGAACGAGGGGCCGAGCTGGCGGCCTCTCCCAGCGAGGCTGGGGCCCACCGCGGCGGAGGACCAGATCCACGTCCGCCGCGGCAAGGACGTGAGCGTCGAAGAGAAGGTCGGGTCGGAGATGGCCTGAGCTGTGGGTGTCGTTCCTCGTTTTCTGTTTCCCCCCCCTCCTCCGCCTCCTCCTCCTCCTCCTCCTCCTCCTCCTCCTCCTCCCCCTCCTCCTCCTCCTCCGCCCCCGCCTCTCCCTCGGACCTCTGACCCTCGCAGCGGCGAAGGGCCATGCCGTCGGAAGCAACAGAGGCTCATGGACCGAATAGTTGGAGGTGCCGTGCGCTGCCATCAGGTGTAGATTCAGGCTCCTTCGTTTGCGAGATTGCTAGCTGACGTGCTCCCCCCCCCGCTCCACAAAGAGCCCAGGTTGATTTTAACATACACGCAATCGGCATTACGACCGGCAATCTAGCATTGCGTGTGTGTGCAATCGGCGATATAGTGATCCTTATTGTCCTCCTCCTCCACCTCTTCGTCCTCCTCCTCTTTCTCCTCCCTACCCCACCACAGCAACGACCACCACCACCATCACCATCGTCATCACCATGATCCGCATCCGCAGCAGCAACAGCAGCATAATCATCATCATCATCATCATCATCATCATCATCATCATCATCATCATCATCATCAGCAGCAGCATCATCAGCAGCAGCATCATCATTTTCAGCATCATCATCAGCAGCAGCATCCGCATCAGCATCAGCATCATTATCATCAGTTTCATCATCATCATCATCATCATCATCATCATCATCATCGGAACCATCACCACCAACAGCATCACCAACAACGTCATCATCAGCATCAGCATCAGCATCAGCATCAGCATCAGCATCAGCATCGTCATCATCATCATCATCATCATCATCATCATCATCATCATCATCATCATCATCATCATCTGCGTCATGATCGTCGTCGCCATTATCATCATCAGCACGATGATTTTCATCATCATCAACACCATCATCACCAGAATCATTACCAGCACCGTCGTCGTAATGATCGCCACCAGCTCAATCATCCGAATCATCATCAATACCATCATCAACATTACCATCACCACTATCATCACCACAATCAGCATCGTCATCATCATCACCGTCATCATCATCATCATCATCAGCATCATCATCATCATCAGCACGATCATCATCAACATCATCACCCGCATCATCATACAGCATCATCATCATGGCAATCATCAGCAGCATAAGCAGCCTGATCATCAGTGCAGGCCTCACCACCATCATCACATTATCATCGTATCATCAGCATCATCACCATCAGCATCATCATAATCATCATCAGCATTATTAGAATCATCATCATCATCAGCATCATCATGATCGTCATCATCATCATCATCAGCATTACCATCATCAACATCATCAACATCATCAACAGCAGCAAACTCATCATCGTCGTCAGCTTCATAGTCAACACAATCGTCATAAACATGATCATACACGTCATCATGATGCGCATCATCAACATAAGCAGCATCAACACCGTCATCATCATCACCATCATTATCAGCATCAACACCATCATCCTCATCACCATGAACATCAATGATACAAATAACAAAAAAAACCATCGGCGGCAGTCCAGTTATCATCACTTGCATCCTCAGCATCAGGATCACTGTCATCATCATCAGCATCATCATCACCCTCATCATCAGCAACATCATCATCACCATCGTCCTCGTCGTCATCATTATCATCACCATAATCAATATCGGCATTATCATCATCACCAGCAGTAGCAGCATGAGAAAAATCATAAGTATCATCACCGCCACCAGCATCACCATCTTCATCGCCCCATCATCCTCATCAAAATCAGTGTCATCAGTATCATCATCAGCATCAGCGTCGTCGTCGTGATGAGCGTCCCCAGAATCATCATCATCAGCAGCAGCATCACAATAATCATCATCATCATCATCATCATCATCATCATCATCATCATCACCACCCACATCACCCTCACTAGAACGATCACAGCCATGACCACCAATCAGCGCCATCACCATGAGCAGAATCAGCATCGGCATCATAATCATCATCAGCATCATCATCATCAGCAGCAGCATCATCCGCATCATCATTACCATCATAATCAGAATCATCCTCATCATCAGCATCATCATCATGGTCGAAGTATCCTCATCCGCATCCTCATCAGTCTCGTCGTCGTCATCATCAGCATCATCATCAGCATCTTCAGCATCATCAGCATCACAATCATCATCATCATCATCGTCATCATCATCATCATCATCATCATCATCATCATCATCATCATCATCATCATCATCTGTCACCTGCCTCTTCGGAGGAAGGCCAACTCCTGACCCATGACTCATACATGACTCATCCTCGTTATCCTCGTGGTCCTCCTTCTCCTCCTCCAACTCCTCCTCCTCCTCCGGCTCCTGATCCTCCGCCTCCTCCTCCTCCCACCCCCTCCTAACCATTCGACTCGCCCACGCCCCCGCACGCACGTGGGAACGGGGAAGGGGGAAGGAAGGCACAACGGGCGCCACTCAATGAGGGCGCAAAGCAAAAAATTAGCTGGAGAAGGAAGACACTGTATGAGTGAATGAGGAAGGAAGAGAACGAGGAAGAATCGCCCTCCTCATCCTCCTACACGTCCTCCTCCTCCCCATCCTCCTCCTCCTCCTCATCGTACTCTTCATCACCATGTCCTCCCACCCTGATCATCATCATCATCATCATCATCATCATCATCATCATCATCATCATCATCATCATCATCATCATCATCATCGTCGTCATCATCATCATCATCATCATCATCATCGTCGTCGTCGTCGTCATCATCATCATCATCATCATCATCATCATCATCATGATCATCATAATCAACATCATCATCATCACCACCACCGTCATCATCATCATCATCATAATCATCATCATCATCATCATCATCATCCTCATCCTCATCCTCATCCCTATCCTCATCATCATCATCATCATCATCATCAGCATCATCATGAGTATTATAACTATTATTATCATAATCATCATCAGCATCATCATCCTTCTCATCCTCGCCACCACAAGCATCATCATCATCATAATCCTCATCACCACCAGCATCATCATCATAATCAGCAGCAGCATCACCACCACCACTACCATCATCATCATCATCATCATCATCATCATCATCATCATCATCATCGTCATCGTCATCGTCATCGTCATCATCATCATCATCATCCGCATCATCATCATCATCAGCATCATCATCCGCATTATCACCATCATCAGCATCATCATCGTCATTATCATTATCATCATCGTCATCGTCGTCGTCGTGCTCGTTGTCACCACTAGAATGGCACCACCACCACCACCACCACCACCACCACCACCATCACCATCGGCCAGCCGCACCTCCCGGCCGCGGCCGGGCGCCGGGCGTCGGAGACGCCCCCGCCTCGGGGTAGGCCTGGGTGGCGGCGAAGCACGGCTCGGCGTCACCCGCGGAGGCGGCCTGCGGAGCCCAGATCGTCGTCGCCGTCGTCGCACGGCGAAAGTGACGGTCGTGACACGATCGGGCGGGAGTCAAGGGGGTGTGAGCTAAGTGGGGGTGAAGGAAAGGGTCCTATTTGGAGCCAGTAGGGGTCCAACAGAGGCCCTAGAGGGCCCCTTGAGGAGCCAATTCTTCACCCCAGGTTTAGGTCACCCCCCCTTGACACACGCCTTATACGATTGGCTCAAGATGCGATCCAGGAATGCTGGAGTTTCTACCAGCGCTGGAAGTGTCGCAATGCACCATCGTCGTCATAGTCCTCCTCGTCCTCCTCCTCCTCCTCCTCCTCCTCCTCCTCCTCCTCCTCCTCCTCATCATCATCACCCATCATCAGCATCATCAGCATCATCAGCATCATCATCATCATCATCATCATCATCATCATCATCATCATCATCGCCACCATCACCACCATATCCATCATCTCCATCACACTCTTCAAAAACTCCACCACCACCACCACAATCATCTTGATCATCCTCATAATCATCATCATCATCATCAGCAGCAGCATCATCATCAACATCACTGTCGTCGTCGTCGTAGTCGTGGTCGCCGTCGTCATCGTCATCATACTCAGCATCATCAACAGTCTTCATCATAGGCAGCAGCAGTGTCATGATTACTTTCACCAGCATCATCATCATCATCATCATCATCATCATCATCATCACCATCACCATCATCATCATCATCATCATCATCATCATCATCATCATCACAATCATTGCCATCATCATCATCATTACCATCATCATCGTCACCATCATCAGCATGAGCATCAGCATCATCAGCAGCATCATCAGCATCACCGTCATCATCATCATCATCATCATCATCATCATAATCATCGTAAGCATCCTAATCATCACCATCGTCATCATCGTCATCATCAACATTATCAACATCATCACCACCAGCATCATCAAGGTCATCTTCATCATCCTCATCATCCTCATCAGCACCATCATCATCACCATAATCATTACCATTAGATGCATCATCCACATCATCAGCACCAGCATCATCATCGTCATCATCGTCATCATCATCATTATCATCCTCATCATCATCGGCAGCATCACTTTCAGTGCAGTCCCGTGATCGGGCCCATATGAGCGTCCTTTCTCTCACCTCCTCATGCCCCTCATCCCAATCCACATCCCCAATGCCTTTGCCTTATCATTAACTCCCCCCTGCCACATAACGATGCCAGTCGGAAGGGCTGGCCCCGCGTTTCGCCTGAGAAGCCCTCACCATGTTATGAACCTGAAGCTTGAATAAATGGCAACCACTTCACAAATGGAGGGTGGGTGCTTTTCAAAATGCGGCTCTCGCCTTAGCGCCCCGTACGTTCGCGCAAAAAATCGCAAGAGCTTCACGGATTGAGGGCGGGTAATTTGCGATCTCGCCTCAGTGCCGCGCACAATCGTCTTGAGAGTTCGTAAGGAGCTTCACGTATTGAGGGCGGGTCGGTTTCAAAATGCGGCTCTCGCCTTCGCACAGCGCACATTCGCTTGTTAACTGCCAGAGTTTCACAGGTTGAGGGCGGGACGTTTTCAAAATGTGGCTCTCGCCTTCGCGCAGGGCACATTCGAATGAAACAATGGCAAGAGCTTCACGGATTGAGGGCGGCTCCGTTCCAAAATGTGGCTTTCGCCGTAGTGCCGCGCACATTCGTCCTTACCATTTGCAATAGTTTCACGGCTTCCCATGGTTAACGCATCAGAAACGACGACTTGGAGCGATTCAGGACTGCCAGGTCGCAACAGTTACGTTGACCCGTGGTGCTGAAGTCCCAAGAACGGTGTTCTGACCCGATTCAGGACCGTCAGGACGCAACAGTGAGATTAATTCATGGCGTTAAAATCCCGAGACGTGTATTCCAACGGTTGTCTCTCAACGGTTCCCTCAGTGGAAATGAATCCTTTTATGGGGCCTATGAAGAGGGAGCTCGGAGGGAGGGCATGTTTCAGCATCGGTGAGGATTCTTGCGTTTGCACCAGTCCCTGTATCCTCCTCCTCCTCCTCCTCCTCTTCCTCCTCCTCGTCCTCCTACTTCTCCTGCACCTCCTCCTCCTCCTCCTCTTCATCATTATCATTATCATCATCATCATCATCATCATCATCAGCATCATCAGCATCATCATCATCAGCAGCATCATCGTCATCATCATCATCATCAGCATCAGCATCAGCATCAGCAGCATCGTCATCATCATCAGCATAACCACCACCACCACCACCGCCATCATCATCATCATCATCATCATCATCATCATCATCATCATCCTCATCCTCATCCTCATCCTCATCCTCATGCTCACACTCATCCTCCTCATCCTCATCCTCATCCCCGTCCTCATACTCATCCTCATCCTCATCCTCATCCTCATCGTCGCTGTCGTCACAAGATTCTCGCTCCTCCGACTTGCGGCCACTGCGAGCCCCGCGGCGGTCGCCTCGGCCCTCGTCCCCGCCGCTCGCTCCCTCCCTGCCTCGGCCCTCGTGCCACCAGGAAAGAATGCCGAAGAAGGAGCGCAGGGCCAGTCATGGAGGGAGAAGAAGCGGCATGAGCACAACAAACTCTCGACGGTCCGCGCGGATTCCTCTGATCGGCGCTGGACCTCCCTGGCGGCGCCTCTGGCGACGCCCCGGGCGCGCTCCGCGCGCCAGGGAGGGGGGCCCAGCGCAGATCCAAGGGATCCGCCCTGGCCATCGAAAATTTCCGTGCATGCCGCTTCGCCATCGTCGAGAATCAGGCGCGACGGGGCTTCTCTGGCCACGGCGAACCTCGGCCACGAACGGGCTACCCCGACCCCAGTCGGAGGAGCGGCTCGAGAACCCGAGCCCCTCCCGAGCCCCGGGTGGCCCCAAATGTCAGGCTCCTGGCCGTGCGGCCGCATCTGGCCCCGTGGCGGCCGCAGCCCCCTGCCTGATCCGGCTTGCTATACGTGCCTGCTGCGCGCAGCCCACTTCTTCTCTGATATCGAGGAGGACAAGCAATGGCATTGACACACGAAAGCTCGGAGGTCCGCGCAGAGTTCGTGGATCGGCGCTGGACCGCCAGGGGCGGCGGCCGCCAGGGGGCCGCCAGCGCCGATCCGAGGAACCCGCGCGGAGCTCAGAGTTTGTATGTTTACGTCGTTGCTTGTTCCCCGAGACACGCTTACCTGCGCGCGTCGCACAGCGCGCCGCGAATCTGTCTCCTGGCCTCTCCGCACGCGGCTGGTGATGCCTGGAGAGGGCAACCGACGAGGGCACAGCCCACCTCCGCAGGCAGCCCCTGCTCCAGGCCGCAGGCACGAGGAGGGCACGAGACGCGACAGGCAGGACACGAGGGTACCCACGTAACCCCATGCTCCCGAGAATAAACCTCCAGGGATAGTAAAGTTCGGTGGTTACGGGGTGATAATAAAAGTTGCCCACCACAGGCCAGCATAAAGATGTTAACAGAGGAGCCAAAGCCGAGGATATCTTGAGACATCCTTAGCTGTTGGTCCTCTCTGAAACATCCTGAAGGAACGTGTCGGCTTTTAACCTTTTTATAATACAGAACTGAAGCTCGGGGTGCGCGCGCGCGCGCCAGGATAAACAAGTTCAACCACAGCGATAAACAAGTTCAGGGGGGCAGGGGGAGGAGAGGAAAGATAGAGAGATAAATAGTGAGATAGAAAGAGAAGACGAGGTAGAGGAGGAAGAGGAGGAGGAGGAGACAGAGCAAGAGGAGGAGAGGAGAATGAGATAACAAAAATCCAAAGTTTGAAACTTATTAGATTTAATTTGTATACGCTTAATGAAAATTAGAAAGTTGCATCTGCTCGTGTAGGGTAGCTTACGTGCCTCGTTTTCCCAGGATAATCAACCCCAGCGATAAACAAGTTCAGGGCGCCAGAGGAAGGAGGAGGAGGAGAAAGAGATAGAGAGACAGAGAGAGAGAGACAGAGAAAGAAAAAAGGAAAGACAGAAAGAACTACAAAGAGACAGAAGGACATTGGTTTCGCTGGGGACATCCTGAAAAAACGTGTTCGCTTCGCTTGATGTTGTTATCTCAACATAAGAAAGAAGTAACCTCGATGGCGAACTTTTCACGGTGATAATGAAGTTCGGCCTCCGCGCCCCGCGCCCCCGACCAAACTCTTATTGGCCGTGGATAATCAACTCTTATGTGTATAGGGAGGGGGTACATTATTATCGTGGGTATGGGGTTAATTGTCGTGCAGGTTCGACATGCTACAGTCAAAATCTGTCATACTTCGTCGCTACAATAGTTCGGCGGCGGGGCTCCGGTGCAATCCTGCCAACGGAGGACATTTCGAATGGGACCCGTTAGGCGACGGGTAGGCGACGGGACCCCAGAACAATATGTTGCCAGGGGGCGCCCCGTTGCTTCGTGCAGCGAAGGCACTTTCACGCAGTTTGGACTACAGACCAGGGAGTTTCGACTTCGGTCGGACGCTGTTCAGTCAACCTGCTACTGTCAAGATCTGTCATAAGGATTGAGTTTCAGGATACAAGACCCCTGGAGCGCGCGAGAAGCCAAGGGTGCGCCCGCCCGCAAGGGTGCCGAAAACGCGCTGAGGGTGGCCCAGAACAGAGGATGCAAAGTGCACTTGGAACAAGGGCCCATCCTGAACGCCAGATTTGGCTGTCATCACCCCACACTCGGACATCCGCCGATCTGATGTTTTCGATCCGCGGCCCTAAAAGTCCTTTCCCCTTCCTCCAAGGGTGGTTCCTCGTCCCAGATCCAAGCTCGATGGCCCCAGGACACGAGAACGGACCCCAAAGGCCGAAATCTAAGCAAAACGCGGGGATTGAAGAAACAGAACCATCGTCGGAGACGTGTAGCTGTGACGCCCCATCGTCCACAACTCCCCTGCACAGAGCACCCCGACCAGGCCCGCGGCGCTGCGGCTGCCCGCGCGCGGAGCAACCCCACGGCCGCGCGCGCGGCGCACTGTGGCGCAACAGGACGCGGGAGTGTTCCATCCCAGCCACCCCACCACCCTTCGAGGGGCAACGCCAGGAGAGGACCGGCTCAGGGGGAAAGCTTCTACGAGGACTTGACGATGCCTCGCCGATAGATCGGCGATCGGCGAGAGGCCCCCCGCCAGCGAGTCCGCACCGCCCTGGGCGGGGCGGGCGATCGGGCCCCTGTCGGCGATGAGTGGGCGGTTGGGGGTCGATGCACTGCCCCCCGAACCCGCCCCCCCTGACGTTGCCCCTGGTAGAGGAAAGAGAACTATGCACATACACCGATTCTGGCCACGCCCAACCCTGAGCCCAGGATCGGTGCATACGCCCTCTTACCTTGGCCAGGAAGGCATATGCACCGATCCTGGGTCAAGGATGGGCCTTCCCAGGATCGGTGCATGCGCATAGTTCTCTGCGCCCGACCTGGTGTCTGCGGAGCCCCAAACCGAGGTCTGCGACGGTCTCCGCGACCAACCCGCTGATCGGCCCTGACAAAACGTCTCTGCCTCAAAACACCGAGCCCAGGGCCGCCGCGCACCACCGTGACGAGCGCGGCGTCCTCCACGGGCACCACGGCGACGACCCCGCCCCCACCCCCAAGTTGCCCCTGACCCTTGCCTCCCAGTCCCCCCGCCCACCCCCCACCCCTCCCGAGCCAGTGACCTCCCGGCCGCCCTTGACGCCCCACGACCGCTGGAGGCTGTTAACAATCTTACACGGCAGCTCGCTTGACTGCCCCGACTGGTCTGCGCCTCCCACTTGCTGCCGTGCTGTGCTGTCAACCCTGGCGCCCCAGCAGATACGCACTCTTCGTCTCACTCAGGGTCTGCGAGCTGAGTGCTGGCCTCTCCTGACAAGATCCCAGCTTAATCGGCGTCGAAATCCAAGAGAAATCCTGTGATGCCCGCAGGGGCCTTCAGCCTTGACAGCCCGCTGCGCGTGTCGCCGCTGCGTCGACGCGGCAAGGCCCTGCCCGACCCGTGAGGCCAACAGGAGGCGCCCAGCCGAGCCTCTTCCCTCGGGCCCGCCTCGTCGCGGGTGGCATCCAGCTGCGTCGCGGGCGCGGCAGCCACCGGGCCGTCCCAGTAGGACCAAGTCGCTGGCAAGCTCGACTCCACGGGGTTCTGAGCGGGACCGGCAAAAGTCAAGGAGGGAGCTTTCTGGAGCATGCGCCTGTCAGACCTCCTCCTTCATCTTGCTCATCCCCCTCTTATGTGTCCTACTTCTGTAGCGGATGACCTACTGATTATTGTACAAACTGACTCCCTGTGTGCTACTACAGATTCCTGTTGCGGTGACCTTCCGAATAGTTTGTGGAGGGGCGGAGGGAGTGGGGAGGAGGGCGGGAAGGAGGATATTTGTTCCCCCAACCCGCCTCCCTCCTGCTTGGTTCTGTTGTTCCCGCCCCCCTGCCCGAGCACTCGTCCTACAAACAGAATGCAAGTGGAAGGCCGAGGGGGAAAAACAATAACCTGGCGAAAGACCCAACCATGCGCAATTCTGATACCGCGTTGTGGGTACCGCTTTCGGTGGAGCTCCATATGGGGCCACGAACCGTGTGAGGGATGTGCCAAAATGACTGGCGGTCCCCGCATACGGCCTGTGCCACTGAGGCCTTCGGTGGAGCTCCCTGTGGGGCCACGAACCGTGTCCAAGGTGCGCCGACATGAGTGGCGTTGACGCATGCTGACGAGCCTTCGGTAGAGCTCCCTGTGGGGCCACGGACCGTGTGAAGGGTGTGTCAAAATGACTGGCGGTCCCTGCATACGGACCCTGCCGCTGGGGCCTGCGGTGGAGCTCCCTGTGGGGCGACGAACCGTGTGAGGTGTGTGCCAAAATGGGTGGCGGTCCCCGCATGCGGACCCTGCCACTGGGGCCTTCGGTGGAGCTCCCTGTGGGGCCACGAACCGTGTAAGGGGTGCACCAAAATTGGTGGCGGTCCCCGCATGCGGACCCTTCCGCTGGGGCATTCGGTGGAACTCCATGTGGGGCCACGAACCGTGTGAGGGATGTGCCAAAATGGGTGGCGGCCCCCGCATGCGGACCCTGCCGCTGGGGCCTTCGGTGGAGTTCCCTGTGGGGCCACGAAGAAAGTGAGGGGTGTGCCAAAATGAGTGGCGGTCCCCGCATATGGACCCTGCCGCTGGGGCCTTCAGTGGAGCTCCCTGTGGGGCCACGAACCGTGTGAAGGGTGTGCCTAAATTGGTGGCGGCATCCACATGCGGACCCTGCCGCTGTGGCCTTCGGTGGAACTCCCTGGGACCACGAACCGTGTGAGGGGTGTGTCAAAATGGGTGGCGGTCCCCGCATGCGGACCCTGCCGCTGGGGCCTTCGGTGGAGCTCCCCGTGGGGCCACGAATCGTGCAGAACCGTGTGAGGGGTGTGCCAAAATGGGTGGCGGTCCCCGCATGCGGACCCTGCCGCTGGGGCCTTCGGTGGAGCTCCCCGTGGGGCCACGAACAAAATGACGGGTGTGCCAAAGTGACTGGCGGTCCCCGCATACGGACCCTGCCGCTGGGGCCTTCGGTGGAGCTCCCTGCGGGGCCACGAACCGTGTGAAAAATTGTGCCAAACTGGGTGGCGGTCCCCCCATACGGACCCTACCGCTGGAGCCTTCGGTGGAGCTCCCTGCGGGGCCACGAACAAAGTGAGGAATGTGCCAAAACTGGTGGCGGTTCCCGCATGCGGACCCTGCCGCTGGTGCATTCGGTGAAGCTCCCTGTGGGGCCACGAACCGTGTGAGGGGTGTGCCAAAATGGGCGGCGGTATGGGGCAACGAAACGTGTGAGGGGTGTACCAAAATGGTTGGCTGGTTCGGAGGGGAGAGGCAGGGATCGGAGGAGGATGGGGAGCGAGGAGGAGAGGAGGAGAGGAGACGCGGGGCGCTGTCTCTTCAAAACGAAGACCCTGCACCACAGGATTCTTGGGAACTATGTACAAAGCTGTCACGCAACTAGAAGGGTAAGCTTCTTATACAAGGCCGCAACAGGAAACGAATCGCAACGCCTCCCGAACATGCATTAATCCCACCAGCCCTCTGGGCGTAGGTGGTTTAGGGAGTTTCCTCTTCCACCCCTCCTTCTTCCCCTTCGGGGAAGGGTTCACCCCTCCTCCTACCCCCTCCCCTGGACCTGGACGGGGGGGGTTCGCGAGGTGCCGGAACGTCCAAAACGGCCTCGGCGAGGAAGCTAAAATCACTGGTTGTACCAACGTTATGGCCCCAAGGGGGGGACGCTAATTGGACACCCCCCTCCTGTGATCGATCTCACCCAAGATGGCCCAAAGATGGCCCCCAAGGCTCCCAAGGGTGCCCCAAGAGGGCCCCAAGAGATGGCCAAGAAGCCCCGAGAGGCCCCCAGGATGCCCCCAAGAGGCTTCCAAGAGACCTCCAAGAGACCTCCAACAGGCCCCAAGAGGCCCCCCAGAGGCACCCAAGACGTTCCAAGAGGCCTCGGCGACAATGCCAAAATCGCTGATTTTACGAAGGTTTTGGCTACATTTTGGCCTCCTGGGGGGGGGCACTGCTTCAGATGACTCCAAGAGCGCCTGGGAGAGCCGAAGATGATCTCCAAGATGGCTCAAGCTCAAGATATCCCAAGATGCCTCAAGATGGCGCCCACGATGCTCCAAGAGGCCCCATGACCGCTCCAAGACAGCTCCAAGTGGCCAAAGAGCTCCCCCAGGAAGCCCCGAAGAGGCCAACATCCTTCCAGAACCTTGGGAAAATCCATGTGTGCGGCTTTCTCGCCGAGGCCTCAAGATGGCTCCAAGATGGCCCAAGAGGGCTCCAAGAGCTCTCCGAGGCTCCCAAGAGCACTTCAAGAGGGCCCCAAGAAGCGTCCAGGAGGCCCCAGAAGGCCCCAACAGGCGCCCCAGAGGCCTCCAAGAGGCTCCCAAGAGACCCCCAAGAGGCCCAAAGAGGCCTTCCGAGGCACCCAAGACGCTCTAAGAAGCGCCCGGGACCGCCAAGAGGCCCCGAAGACGCTCCAAGAAGCCTCCGCTGGGGGACCCTTCTTCTGAGTGCTGCCCGCTTCCCTGATCGAGGCAATTCCTCTGGGCATCGTTTCTGGATGGGCTGGTGGGGTTACTTTTTCGGTCGCGGCCGCAAGACGACGGTCAGGCGGCGAGAGCAAAGTCCGGGACGCGAACTAGGCGAATTAGCAAGAATGCGTAGTGTGCACATGCACTGAGCAAAGTGCTCCGCATCAAGGCGAACGCACATAGGTGCCAGCCACACCGAAGTGAAGCAGACCGCAGTGCGAGTGCAACGGAGAAGTCGCCCAGTCGGCGCCAAGCTCCGAGCAGCTCTCCTAGCCGAAAGCGCAGGGAGAACCGAAGCGACAACGCTGAAGGCTGAACCACTCAGCGCGAAGTCCGTGGGGTTATGCGAAGCGTCTAGAATTGCAACGCCACCACACAATGAATCACTTACGGCACAGACCAGGATTCGGGTGAAAGGAGGTGCGGGGCTTGGGGGGGAACCGACACGATCATTGATTTGCATTGGGCGCTCAATTAAACACACGAGTGAACTCACACATCGGGACGTCAAAACGGATTCGCATCTACCTATATGTTTGATGGGCTGGGGTCTGCTCAATTTTTGAACACGTAGGAATGCTTCAACACTTGAAAACAATAGTAGACAAAAGTCTGGAACTCAAAACTTCAATCCTGGGGCCTTCGAAATGAAATATTGAAAACTGGAGACTGCAAAACTGGACTCCCCAGATTGAAAAACTGAACACCGATAAATTCACTCCCGGCCTTCCCTAAGTGCACACTTGAGAAACCTTTCGACTGTCTTTCACTCTCGGGGATGTCCCGAGCGAGGCGCTCGTTTAGCGTGTTCCTCCAAGGTTTTGTGGAGCACGCCTTCGAGGGTTTGGGGGGCGTGGTTCTCTCGAGTACTTTGCACCATCACGGCCCTGGCGGGCACACAGGCTCCCGAGTGCTCTGGGGTCGGGGCAACCTCCGGGGCCCGCGGAGACTCTGGGGCCAGCAGCGCCTGCGGTGCCCCTGGAGCCTCGGCCGCGTCCAAACCCTCGGGAGAACCACGCCCTCAAAACTTTCGGGAACGCCGCGAATCCGGAACCCTCGCAGGAACCTCGCCGGGCCCCGCACTCCACTGTCTTCGGGGACGCACCGACCCGGGTCAATGCAAACCCGGGTCAGTCCGGCCTTACAGGATCCTGCAAGATCCTGCAAGATCCTGCACCCAAGCCCGGGTCAATGCCAAGGATCCTGCAACATCCTGCAGGATCCTGCACCCGAACCCGGGTCAATGTGACCCTGACCCTGCAGGATCCTGCAAGATCGGGCGCACTGGCTGACCCCCGTTTGCATTGACCCCCGTCTCGAGGCTCCCGACTGTCTCACCCGCCTGACCCGCCCTGCCCGGCCAAACGCGATGGGGCCCCCCACGCCCTCTGTCTTCCTGCCCGCCTGGCCCGTCTGGCCCCTTGTCGCCCCGCCCGCCAGCCCTGCCAGGCCCGCCCGCCCTGCCAGCGGGCCTCGCGCCGCCCGACCACACTCGAGAGAGCGCCCCGCACTTTGAGGCGGAGGACGAGGAGGAGGAGGAGGACGAGGAGGGGGGGGGGGAGGAGGAGGAGGAGGAGGAGGAAGAGGAGGAGGAGGAGGAGGAGGAGGAGGAGGAGGAGGAGGATGAAAATGACGAGGACGAGGACGAAGGATATGTACGAGAACGAGAGGAGGAGGAGGAGGAGGAGGCGGAGGAGGAGGAGTGCCCCGCCCGCCCGACCCGCCCTGCTCCGCCCGACCGCGCACGAGAGAGAGAGAGAGCCCTCTGCGCTTTCACGTGTCCCGCCCGCCAGGCCCGCCTCTCTCGCTGGCCCCGCCCCGCCCGATTCCACGCGCGATGGACTTTCGGATGCCGCCACGCCCGACCCGCCCTGCCCCGTTGGCCCCGCGTCGCCCAACCACACGCGAGAGATACAGGTGGGGCGTTGACCTAAAGGACCCGAAATGAGGAATGGGGCCCCTTCTTTCACCATGGGGTAAACTTCGATCTCCCATCGAAAACCCGAGGGAGACCTGAGGCAGGCTGCGAAACGATTGAGGAACACGGAGCCCCTCCCCGACAACAAAGAGGGTTCCTGCTTCAGCGCCCCGACTGTACCCCACACTTTCATATCTCGCCCACCCGACCCGCACTGCCTCATCACCCCCGCTTCGCCCGCCCACGCGCTATGGAGACCCGACACGTTTGATGCTCCACCCGCCCGACCCGCCGCGCCCGTGGGCGCCCCGCCCCGCCTGGCGACGCTCGAGAGAGCCCCACACGTTAGCGTTCCGCCTGCCCGACCCGCCTCGCCCGTCGGCCCCACTCCGCCCGACCGCGCTCGAGAGAGCTCTGCGCTCGAATGCCCCGCCCGACCCGCCATCCCCCACCTGGCCCTGCTTCGAGAGGAGGGCCCCGAACGTTCCTGTCCCGCCCGCCCGCCCGAGTCGCCCCGATCCAATCGCCCCGCGCCGCCCGACCGCACGCGAGAGACCGGACACGACACTCGAATACTGGGCGAGCAACGACATATGTACATGTACGCCCTCCGCGGTCTTGCCTGCACGAACGTCCGCGTTGACACGCACTCCAAGGGAAGATAACCGCGTACGTGTACATATGTTGCTGGCCTCTGAAATACCCCGCCCGCCCGATCCGTGTCGCCCGTTGAGTCTGCCCCGCCGGATTCCGCGGGACAGAAATCCCACGCTCGGTGCCCCGCCCGCCCCACCCCGCCTCCACGGCCCTGTCTCGAGAGAGCCGTACTCTTTCCTGTCCCGCTCGTTCGACTCGCCCCCCTCCCCCGACCCGCCCAGGAGTAAGTCGTGGAATACGAGTGCGCCGAGATAAGAAATCCGAACGTTCACATTGTCAATTCAGATCCTTCCAGGTTGAACCGTTGAAAAAACACAGATCCGGTCAATGTTTGATTTGCTTTCAATCCGCGACCCCAAGATTGAAACATCTGAAGATTCAATGTTCAAATTCCAATTTTCAAGTTTCAACTTACAACCACGAAATCGGAAATTTCAAGACCCGAGGGATCCCTAAACAGCGCTTGCACTTAGGAGTTCTGACTTGTTTGCTAAGGAACTGGGCCTGCGAGTCGGTCTGGCGGCCATGCTCTCGCCGCCGCCCCCCCGTCGCCACCCGTCGTCTGGGCCTGCGGGTCGATCTCGCGGCTGTTCTCGCCGCATTGCACATCGTTGCCTTGCAATGCGCAGATTGTACGACCTAGATTGATTGCACTAAGCTGGATTTCGAAAAAAAAGAAAAAAGATTGCACCACCTAGATTGCACTACACATGTGCATTGCACTACTGGACTGCACCACCTACATTGCAATGCACAGACTGCCAGGAATCACTCTGTGGGGTCCACGCTGGCTGATATTTGATTTTCTCAATGTTCAATCTGGCGCCGAAGCCCCAACTCAGTTCACCAACTATATCCGCTACCGTGCCCCTGTCGCACGGAGTGGAACGCCCCCACGTCCCTCCGAGCCTCGGCCGGCAATCGTCAAATATTCCCGCGTGCCCTCTGGGGCGTTCCTGTACCGTTTCCTCGGCCCTTTCCCCCGCCGCCTTCGGGATGGCCAGGGGCAGCGCTCTCATTCGCCTTCGCAGCTACTGCCCTCTGGTTGGTTCGCTTCTTTGGAATTATCTTCCCTTCGCAGGTCTGTCCTACTCCCATGTGTCCCGAACCAGCTTAACGACATCCGCGAAACCGCGGCGTTCCCTCCCCAAGATACCGTCGCAGCGGCCTCTGCTGCAGGCCCAGCATACCAACGCGTTCCCCCATGCAGTCGACGCGGAGGCCTTGGAGGAAGCACGCACGGGAGAAGGAGCCCTCGAGGACCGCGGGGTTGCATCGCGACCCTCTTTTTTCCTCTTGCCGTTCCTCCTCGTCCTGCTCATCCTCCTCGGTGTTTGGTCCTTCTTCACCTTCTCGCCCTTCACACCGCCCCCTGCTCGCTCCCCGGCCCCAGTCGGGGCGGCCTGGCCACCGCGGTTCTAGAGACACCGCCTGCCCTCCATGCGCCCTGACATGAGGAACATCCAGAGGCCACGCGTTGGATACACGTGCGGAGAGCCAGCGAGCCCAGCCATGGAGGGGCCCAGCGCGGGGAACCAACCCTCGCCCAGGCCGGCCGCGCCACGTGTGCGCAGCGTCCTGGTGCGTCTTGTGGCGATGTGGCTTCCTCGGGGGGGAGGCTCCTGCGCGGGGCCCGCTCGCATGGCGAGCGTCTCCTGGGAGCTGTTGTACTCCTGAGAGTTGACCCTCTCGGAGCAGCCTCCTCGCGGCGCAGGCCCTCCTCCGCCTGCTCCTGCTCCTGCTCCTGCTCCTGCTCCTGCTCCTGCTCCTGCTCCTGCTCCTGCTCCTCCACCTCCTCCTCCTCCTCCTGTTCCTGCTCTTGATCCTCCTTCTCATCCTCCTCCTCCTCGCTCCACCTGTTTGCATCGGCCCTGACCTCTCCTAGGCCAAGCTCTGGCCGGAAGTTCGAGGCGGCTCTAGCAGGGCCAACGAGGGCGCGACGATGGCGCCCCATTCATCCATCCATCCATCCGTCCGTCCGTCCGTCCATCCACCCGTCCATCCATCCATCCATCCATTCCATCCATCCATGTATCCATCCATCTATCCATCCATCCATCCATCCATCCATCCATCCATCCATCCATCCATCCATGCATCCATCCATCCTCCTCATGCTCCTCCTCCTTTCCCTGCTGCTCGTCCTGCTCGTCCTCGTGTTCCTGTCCGCCAAGGCCGCGGGCGGCACAGGCAGTTCGCTAGGATCGGATCGAGCCCGCACTCAGTGGAGTCGCGTCAGCGCATCCACTCAAGCGTCAGCGCATCCACTCAGATGCACGATATCTAACACCTCAAAGCGGCAAACGACCCGCGTATTTCGCAACACGCCCGTATCGCCCGTTACGGCTTGCTAGCCTGTGCTGCACACACTCTCGATAGACAGTCTCTGCTTAGGCCGCCTGGTGCCGCTTGAGCGCGATGAAGCACGCTGCGCACAGCGAGTTCTAGGCCTCGCCTGGCCACATATTGATTCGCATGAGGCAAACTGCACACCAGTGCACGAGTTGAGTTTCGAGATCTGCGCCGCCTGTCCAAGTCAGGTCTGACCTATCTCTGCCAGACACGCCTACTTGTGCATATCGCTGGGCATGTGTACTTATATGTACAAACTCCTATTATCCCTGCCCCTCCTCCTCCTCCTCCTCCTCCACCTCCTCCTCCTCATCCTCATCCTCATCCTCATCATCATCCTCATCCTCATCCTCATCATCATCATCAGCAGCAACATCATCATCATCATCATCATCATCATCATCATCATCATCATCATCATCATCATCATCATCATCAGCATCATCAGCATCATCATCATCATCATCATCATCATCATCATCATCATCATCATCAGCATCATCATCATCATCATCAACATCAACATCGTCCTCATACTCATTATCATCCTCATCCTCAGCCTCAGCATCAGCATCAGCATCAGCATCATCAGCATCAGCATCAGCATCAGCATCAGCATCAGCATCAGCATCAGCACCAGCACCATCATCATCATCATCATCATCATCATCATCATCATCATCATCATCATCATCATCATCATCATCATCATCACCGTCATCAGCATCATCATCATCGTCAGCATCATCATCATCATCGCCAGCATCATCATCATCAGCATCATCATCCTCATCATCATCATCATCATCATCATCATCATCATCCTCTTTCTCCTCCTCATCCTCCTCCTCCTCCTCGTCCTCCTCCTCCTCCTCCTCCCCACTCTGGCGAAATGCTGCTGAGGACCCTCTGGGTCAGGAGCACGCCTCGCGACCCCCGAGGGGTCCTCGCCACAGCCCGTCGACGATCCAGCTGCCGGCGTCCACGGCCGCCGCGCCCGGGGGCGGCGCCACCTGGCGGCGGTTCCGCCCAGGCGCGCGGCCGGGACCCCTGGCCGAGGCACCCAGGCCCCGAGTAAGCCCTGGAAGCGGCGCGGCCGTGCTCTGCCCGGCTCTGATTCGGGTACAGCCAAGGTTGCAGAGTCTTGGCCGAGCAAAAAGCATCATCGCCAGAGCGTGGGTGTTGCCAATTCCCATGTCCGTCGCCGCGTTTCTCATGCACCAGATCTTCGGTGAGCCAGGCTTCAGCGCTCAGGAGCCAGATTTCTGGGAACTGCAGGAAGAAGTGCGCAGCCGCTTCCCAAGCAGACAGAAGCCCAGGCCTCCGACGTGGCGGCTTTGACGCGACATGGACACGCCAGCCGTCTCGGCCCCCTCCCTGGACCAGCTCTTGGTTCCAAGACGTTTTCGCTGGCGGCCCCAAGGCCCGGTGAGGGCGGCCCGAGAACGGCCAGAAACCATCGCCGTGGCTTGCCACCGCGCGAGGACGCGTGGGTCTGCCGAGGGAGCCAGGGCAAACAGGAGGCGGGAAGAGTACAAGCGGGGGAATGGTGGTGGGGACGGTGGCATGGACGTAGCAATCGTGCCCACTCCATATGCACTCCTGTACGTAAGACAGATGAAACCGTGACCCCCTCTCAGAGGGCCGCTGGAAGCGTGAACTTGGACCCCTCAAACCAAATGATGCGGGAGCATTGGCCGCGCCGTGGGGCAAGGCGCTGAAGTCTAGAATGATACAACTAATTATGAACAAAAATGCTAGCGAGCATGGACCCAAAACAATGCGTTATTGCACTGCGAAGGTGAAAGCTATGCGGTGAAAGCTGTGTGGTGGAAGATATGTGGCCTGAGCTATGGAGGTGGAAACTACGCGGATCAAGCTACGTGGTATAAGCTAGGTCGCGTAAGCTGAACGAACACGAGCACGCCCGCACATGGGCACCGTCTAGGGTGCTGCGGGTGCGGCGCTGGGGGGGCCAGAGTGGCGGAAAAAATTAAGCCCGATCAGCAACCTTGGTTGATAGTGATTATCAATTCCGTCGTGGCAACTTCCAACCTATCTTGCCCATGAAGCTGAAGATCCTGCCCTTGAGGCTGGAGACCGACTGGCGGGGGTCGAAAGCTGCAGGTGGAAGACTGGAGGTTGGTAGCTGGTAGTGAATGTTGGGAGTCGGAAGCTGGGGACATGGACGTCGGCCACGTGAAGTGGGAGCTCGATAGGTGGAAGTCAACAGCTGGAATTGAAAGGTTGGATACCCTCAGCTGTCGTAGAAGTTCCAAACACGGGGCGCCCACGGGGCACCCACGAGGCGCCAAGTTGGCGCAACCTCCGCATCCCCCCCGAGCGCGGGGCGCCCCCGAGGCGCCCACGAGGCGGCACGGGTCTGCAACGTGGCGTAACCTCGACACACCCATCCAGTTCCCTAATCAAGCCAGGCGAGGACCTCTGAGTGCAGGCACTGAATGGGAACTTCCGGAGGTCCGCGCGTGCTTCTCGGATCGGCGCAGAGCTCCCCTCCCCTGGCGCCATCCAGGACATGCGCGCGGACCTCTGCAGCGTGTGTTGACGCGAAGATGTCCAGTTCGAGGGACGGAGGCGCTGGAGCCGTCTTTCTGTCTATCTGTTTTGAGGGATCGAATGGGGGAACTGGCTCGGGGGGGGGGGGGGGGGGTGCGATGGCCCGGCATCAGCGAGGTATCGCCGACGAATCAGCGACAGGTCCCCGATGGCAAAACCGCGCCTTCCCGGGCGGGGCGGGGAGGCCTCGGGGCGAGGAAAAGGGGGGCGGGCGGCTGGGGGCGCTGTTCCCCCCGGGAGCAGCTTCCCCCTAGCCGCCAGTCGGAAGAAGTACGTGGAAGCATGAAGCAGGAAGGCGGACGGAGTAGATTGGGTTCGGGCCCGCCCAAAGAGTAACAGAACACAGCACAACATATGGACGCTTGAAATATGAAAGCCCCTGACATAGATTGGGGTCCGAGTATCCAAAGATGCATACGTTCAAGGACCAACGTGCACCGTTGCCTCAGACATTCGTCCGACCCTGGCCTGGCTCAGATCCGCTCAAGACAGGTCCCAAGCCCCTCCTGGGGTTCACCCTGACCCGTCTTCCTAGGCGGATCCAGCCGCGAAGACGAGAAACCTCCAGCAGGCCCAAAAAGGTCAAAAGACGCCTTGGAGGGCCTCCGTTTTTGCCTCGACTGGCAAGCCCCCCCACCTCCTGTCGTCCTTCCTGCCCTCTTCGGCGGCGCACGAGAGTGACCCCAGGCAAGAGAGCGCGGATTCGGGGGGGCTTGAGGCCACGGATCGGGAGGGCCAAGCCCAGGCCCGCAAGCCGCTCTTGTCGCATCGCATTCGGCCAGGATGCAGCTCCCGAGCATTCAATTCAGCATCGACACTGGTACATCCGTGGCCGAAAACTGGCCTGATCCGCCATCATCTGGCTAAATCTGGCCAATCCCGCTCAATATGGAGCAATCACGCTCAATCCAGCTTAGTCCCAGGCCGAATCTGGCCTTATCCAGCTCAGTGACTACTCAATCTGGTTTGATCGCCCTTAATCGTTGTCACGAAGACCTCCCAGGAGTTGCTTCCTGAGACTCGGAGGGCCAAGTGGGCCCGCTCGAAAGGTCACTCCTGCGAAAGGTCGTCGTCATCGTCGTCGTCATCGTCGTCTCCGTCGTCGTCTCCGCCGTCGTCTCCGTCGTCCGCGATCTCGACGGAGTCGTCGCCGCAATCAGCCATCGACCTTTACGTCGACCTCGACGTCGTCGTCTCCGTCTCGTAGGGGGTCGACTACAGAATTGACTTACCCCAAATTTGGTTCTCACGTCGAACCTTCCACCAAAAATACGCAGAGGGCGCGTAGATCTACGGACTTCCAGCACGTGTTCCATGGATCCTACGAGAAAACTCACCTCCGGGGTATATCAATAGGGGAACAAAAAGTTTCATAAGCAAAAAAACCCGGAGGTCCGCGCGGATTTCTCGGATCGGCGCTGGGGCCCCCCAGCGGCGCCTCCGGCGCCGCCCCTGGCGCGCTCCGGTGCGCCAGGGAGGTGGGTCCAGCGCCGATCCGAGAAATCCGCGCGGACCTCCGAGTTTTTATCTTTATGTCACTCTTTGTTCCCCTGAAATCAATTCTGCAGCCGCTCCCCTAACTCGACCGTCGTCGTCGCCACCGTCGACGGTCGCCGTCTTCGAGGCGGCGGCGGCCGCCCAGAGCCACCGAGTCCGGCGACGTGAGCTCGCCCCTCGGCGGCCCTGGGGGCGCCTCCTCGGCCAGCGGTTCCTGCGGGGGGGGGGGGCACTGACAACCTACCAGACCACCCCAACCCAACCCGAAGACCCGAATTTCGGGTTGGGGGGGGTAAGGGCGAATCTGAACCTTCGGGTTGGGTTGGGGTGGTCTGGTGGGTGGTGAGGCACGGCTCCTCCTCGAGACCGTCATTTTCTGGTCACCTGGCGAGAACTCGCCATCGCTCGGACGTCCATGCCCCCTGCGTGTTTCGGCCTCGTGCGTGCGTGCGCGCGTGTTTTCGAAAGGTGGCCCACAAGACTCCTCGATGGGCCCCGTCGAGAAAAAACGCGCGTTCGAGCGATGCCAAGCGGCTCCTCCTCGAGACCGTTATTTTCTTATCACATGGCGGTAACTCGCCATCGCTCGGACGCCCATTCCCCGTGCATTCTTCGGCTTCGCGCGCGCAAAGTTTCGAAAGATGGCCCGCAAGGTTCCTCGATGGTCCCCGCCGAGAGGAAGAAAGAACAAAAAAAAAAAAAAAAAAAAACTGGCGAAGGACCCAACCATATGCAGTTGTGAATACCGCAATTGTGAATACCATCTTCGCCCGCGCTCCCTATGTGGCCACGGCTTCCCGCCAGAGCCCGACATGCTCAGGGACACGTTCGTGGCCGTCTTCGCGGGCGCCGACGACGACAAGGACGGCGTCCCTCTCACCGAGGAGCAGAAGCAGGAGAGGGCCTTGAGAGCCATGAGGGAGGAGGTGGCGCTGCACGTCGACAAGGCGGAGTACGACGCCCAGGCGCGGTTGTTGAAGCAGCACAACTATGGGGCCACGATCCTCGTGAGGGGTGTGCCGAAATGGCCCGAGGCCGGCATGCGAACCCTGCCACTGAAGCCTTCGGTGGAGCTCCCTATGGGGCCACGATCCTCGTGAGGGGTGTACCGAAATGGCCCGAGGCCGCCATGCGAACCCTGCCACTGAAGCCTTCGGTGGAGCTCCCTATGGGGCCACGATCCTCGTGAGGGGTGTACCGCGATGGCCCGAGGCCGCCATGCGAACCCTGCCACTGAAGCCTTCGGTGGAGCTCCCTATGGGGCCACGATCCTCGTGAGGGGTGTGCCGAAATGGCCCGAGGCCGCCATGCGAACCCTGCCACTGGGCCTTCGGTGGAGCTCCCTATGGGGCCACGATCCTCGTGAGGGGTGTGCCGAAATGGCCCGAGGCCGCCATGCGAACCCTGCCACTGGCGCCTTCGGTGGAGCTCCCTATGGGGCCACGATCCTCGTGAGGGGTGTGCCGAAATGGCCCGAGGCCGCCATGCGAACCCTGCCACTGGCGCCTTCGGTGGAGCTCCCTATGGGGCCACGATCCTCGTGAGGGGTGTGCCGAAATGGCCCGAGGCCGCCATGCGAACCCTGCCACTGGCGCCTTCGGTGGAGCTCCCTATGGGGCCACGAAACGCTGTACTGGGTGAGTGAAACGCAGAGGGAGGGAGGAGGAGAGAGGAGGAGGAGAAGGAGGAGAGGAGGAGTAGGAGGATAGGGAGGAGGAGAAGGAGGAGGAGAAGGAGGAGGAGGAGGAGAGGGAGGAGGGGGGAGGGGCAGCGGGCGGGCGGAGGTGACGCGGGGCGCTGTCTCTTCAAAACGAGGACCCAACACCACAGGATGGTTGGGGAAAAAAAACACGTCCGCGCGATGCCAAGCGGTTCCTCCTCGAGACCTCCGTTCCCAGCCATCCTGTGGTGTTGGGTCATCGTCTTGCAGAGACAGCGCACCTCGTTCCTCCTCTTCCTCCTCTTCTCTCCTCTCCTCCTCCTCCCCCTCCTCCCTCCTCCCATCATCATCCTCTTTCTCCTCCTCCCTCCGTATCATCATCATCATCATCATCATCATCATCATCATCATCATCATCATCATCATCATCATCATCATCATCATCATCATCATCATCATCATCATCATCAGCATCAGCATCAGCATCAGCATCACATCATCATCATCATCATCATCATCATCATCATCATCATCATCATCATCATCATCATCATCATCATCATCATCATCATCATCATCAATCATAATCGTCATCATCAGCAGCAGCAGCATCATCATCATCAGCAGCATCATCATCACCACCACCACCATCACCATCACCATCACCATCGTCATCAGCAGAATCATCAGCATCAGCATCAGCATCACCATCACCATCAGCATCAGCATCAGCATGAGAACCAGCATCACCAACATCATCGTCATCATCACCACCACCACCATAGTCATCATCATCATCATCATCATCAGCATCATCAGCAGCAGCATCATCATCAGCAGCAGCATCACCATCATCACATACAGCGCTCCGTTGCCCCATAGGCAGCTTCACCTAAGGTCCCAGTGGCGCAGTTTGCATGCGTCCCCCCCGCCAAGCACAGCGTTTCGTGGCCCCATAGGGAACTCCACCGAAGCTCCCAATGGCACAGTTCGCATGCGTCTCCCCCACCCAGTACCGCGTTTCGTGGCTCCAGAGGGAGCTCCACCGGTGGCCCCGGTGGCGCATTTTGCAAGCGCCTCCCCCACCCAGTACAGCGCTTCGTAGCTCCATAGGGAGCTCCACCGAAGATCCCAGTGGCGCAGTACGCATGCGTCTCCCCCACCCAGTACAACGTTTCGTGGCCCCATAGGGAGCTCCACCGAAGGTCCCAGTGGCGCAGTTCACATTCGTCTCCCCCACTCAGTACAACGCCTCGTGGCCCCAGAGGGAGCTCCCGCTCCACCGAAGGTTCGAATGGCGTAGTTCGCATGCGTCTCTCAGCAAACCCGGCCGCTCCTCCTGTCGCTGTCGCACCCGGTCGTTTCGTCGCGGCGACTGCGACTCTCGAGCTCTGCCACCCCGGCCAACGGCAAACTGCCAGCGGGGGGGATGGAAAGCAGCTCCTCCTCCTTGACTTGGCAGGCGCGCAAAACCTGTGACAGGGAGGGAGAGACGAAGGGATGGCGACACGGCGGGACGAGGCTCATATCTTGCAGACAGAGAAAAAGGCGGGTAACCTGGCGGCTGCGGTTTTTGCTCCTCCTCCTCCTCCTCCTCCTCCTCCGCCTCCTCCTCCTCCTCCTCCGCCTCCCCTCGTTAGTAACAATCCGCCGCCGTACCTCCAGAGCGTAGCGATGTGCCCCAAAGCCAACAGCTGATCCCCGGGAGAACAAGAGTAGGTAAACCTATTGCGCTCGGGGATTGCCAGTGGCAACAGGTGGGCACAAAATTGGCGGCGCGCCCACGGGAAAAGGCAGAGGGGGCGGCGGGCCTTTTCAGAAGGCTCAGATGTCCACTGGCCCTCTGGAAAACTTCCCAGGCCTTCTCCGAAGGCCGAGTGGCTTCTGAGCAGCCCCGCCACTTTTTGGGAAGGCTTGCCCCCTCGTACTTACTTCCCCCCTCTGTCTTACTTCTTGGGAAGGCTCGCCCACTCTTACGTACTTGCCCCCTCTCACTTCCTTGCTTGCCCCCTCCTACTTGCTCATTTACTTTTTGGGAAGGCTCGCCCCCTCTGACTTCCCCCCTCTCCGCGTGCCGCCGAGCGAAAAAGTGTTGGCTTTCGGGCCACACCTGGAGGTTCCCTGGGGGCCGCTCTAGACGATCCGGGCACCCCCGGGGAGCTCTCGGAGAGGCGCAGCTGCTGGAGGGCACGCCGAGGCTGGAAAACCTTCGGAGGGTTACGCAGAGGTCGTGAAGGGCTCAACGATTTCTGCCGCCCTTCGACTCGCGCCAAAGCGGCCACGAGTCGCTCCAATTTCTCGGGAGATCTCCGGGATCACCTGGACCTGCACTATTTACCTGGATTCACCCCGAATGATCTGCATTCACCCTGATGCATATGGCCCGACATCAGAAGTCGATGGGCGAAGAGTCGTCATACCATTAGGGAAAAGGACAGAAGAACCCCCCTCCGCTCGCCGCTGACAGGAGGAGACGGAGGCGGCTGGCAGGAGGCCGCCCAGGGCGCGCGGGCGGACCCCCGAGGGGCTCCCCGGGCCGCGGCCCCGCCCCCGTCGGCCACGGTGGCGGCAGCTCGGGGTGGTCCCACGCGGCGCGGCGGCGCGGCCTCGGCGCGGAGTTCGTCGTCGTCCTCCTCCTCCTCCTCCTCCTCCTCCTCCTCCTCCTCCTCCTCCTGTTCCTCTTCCTGCTCCTTCTCCTCCTCTTCGTCCTCCTCCTTTTCCTCTTCCTGCTTACCCTCCTCCTCCTCCTCATGCTCTCCTCCTCCTCCTCCCCTCCTCCTCCTCCTCCTCCTCCTCCTCTTCCTTGTCCTCCTTCTCTTCCTCCTCCGCCTCCTCTTCCTCCTATTCCTCCTCTTCCTCCTCTTCCTCCTCCTCGTCCGCGTCCTCCTATTGCTCATTGGTCCCTCTTGGGACAGCTGCACGGAGCTGGCAAGGCTCCAGGTTCTCCCTGTAAGTTGTTGGGACCGTTTCAAGCTGGCCCCAGTGGCCAGACCTCTGCTGGGTGCAGGATAACGTCCTCGTCCTCATCCTCCTCCCCCTCCTCCTCCT